CTCTCAAAGAAATCTATCATTACTCCCATGCAAATGATGCAAACCTATATGATTATGAAACTCTGGACTCAATCTTAACATGTAAATGCAGCTAAATGAACATATAATTTTTTTTTTGCTTTTTCTATGCAGTTAGATGCTATGCATGATCAAATGACACTCAAAATGCAAAAGAGAAAATAAGAGCATATAAAACATGATTAGCATACATAAAACCCATCCCCCACACTTAAATAACACAGTCCTTTGTGTTATAAAAGTATGAGAGAGAGGATAAACAAACATGAAATGCAAAAGATAAAGGAAAATGCTAAATGCTTATGTAGAAGTGTTTGGAGTGATCTCTGAGGTGTATCAGATCGGTTCAGAATGGATGCGAGACAGGTTCACCTTCTGTTGGTCAGATCTCTCAGCTCATTGCTCCAAATACATTGATTCTAACTGTTCTGGAACCGTGACTCAATCCTCGTGATCTTTGCTGAAGACCCTGGAAGCTGAATCGGACGGGAAAACTTTCCAGTTATGCGATCTTTGAGGCGTATCGGCACAGGATATTTTTGGCCGAGAAACATGCATGCGGTATGTGTTTTGGCCGAGTTTTCCTTCCCGCGGTAAGGTTTTTGGCCGAGAAAAATCGACCTGTGGTACATGGTTTGGCCGGTAAGCTCCAAATGCATATTTTCACCATTTTTGCTCATTTTTTCACCATTTCTTCACCTAGTTTCACCTTTTCCACTCCAAGTGACCTCCAAAGTATCTAATAGACACTCCAAACATGCAAGACTCACTTGGACCTAATGCAAATTCCTAAAACTCTAAAACAAAGATAAAACACAATGAATCTATCTAAAATGCATGCATGAGACTCTATTTTTGGACTAAAAATACATCCTAAACATGCAAAGATATGAATACATCAATGTCTAATTATTCTGTAACAAACCTTGGCTAATCTTTGGTGACTCTAATGAGATACTAGAAGGAGAGGAACACTCAGGCTACAATTAGTCTCCTACAGTTCATGCCAGAATGCCGAATTTTCAGAGTATGGTCAGGTATTATTCTCTCCTTGACCAATATTTACCTGGTGTACCAAAAGAGAAAAAGGGTTGATATCCAAAAAGCTTGACTGAACACTTATAAATGATTCGTGGTACAACTCTTACCCGGACTCAAAACTGCATTTTCGAAGCGGGAGGCCGTTTTTATCATATGAGATGTCGAATTAAGATTAAGGTGGAAGCTGCCAAACCATGGCCTTTGAGGTTCACAAATGCCATCACAAGTCTCTCAAGGATTCAACCTTTGATGGAATCACACTGGAACAATAGGGAAGCCCTATTTCCATCCACATCTGCCTTGTTTAGATTTTTAAAGAAGCTGAGACAGTTGAGTAAGAATCAGTTGGGAGATCTATCAAAAAGAGCCAAGTTATCATTTACAGCTATTTATGATGCCCAAACAAGGACATTGCTAAATCCATCTCAGACTGCTACGGAGGAAGAAGCTCAAGCCTTTCAAAAATGGTAAAGACTGGCTGATCTTGAAGAGAAGTTCCTTCATCAACGTGATATATCATGGTTTTTATGGTTTTTGATCATGATATAGGTCTTATTTATAGAGTCTTTCTAGTGTTTTCGAGTCTTTTGGAGTCTTTTCAGGTCATAAGTACGTTTGGAGTTTAATTGGTGATTTCAAAGTACTTTGGAGCTAAATCAGGATCAAATTCGCGAAGGACAAATCATGTGCATTGGTGTTGCTCGATACCATGAAGAGTAGAGCTCGACACTTGTCAAGAAATAAGGAAAAAGCGATTTTATCTCCTATTTGAAGAAGTAGTTGGGCCCAGAAGTTTCCAAATATTCCCTAAGAAGCCCAAAACGTGTTTTTAAGATATACATAGGGGTTTTAGCCTCCTTAGATCAATACCTTAGGTTTTCAAAGAACTCATCTTTTGCTTTTGGCTTTTTTACAATTTTGAGAGATTGGGAGACAAGTCTGAACTCTGTTCCTTTAGAGAGAAGAATTCGAACCCATTTATCTATTCTCTTCATCTTATTTTGCAATCTATTCAATTATGTATGTTATTTCAATATCCATGTCTGAGTAGTTAGATTTTTAGGTTTAGGGTTCTCATTAAGGTTTTCTCTGGATGTCTGATTAATTGATTTAGTTAGGATTCATAATCTATTTAGTTCTTCACCATAGGTTGTTCTTAAAGCTAATTTTGGACTGATCACCTAGAAGTTAGATCTTAGGTTGCTTAATTGACATGGAAGTGTAATTGAGTAACTGGAAAGAACCTAGGGTGAGCAAAGTAGCTATTCGCAAAGGAATTTGGTTAGATACTTTGTGAACATATCGAACTTGAGCATTAAACCTGGTTTAAATCTTTAGGGTTTGCAAAGGAATTTGGAATTCTAGGATTTTGACTTAGATAATTCTCAAAACGGAAGTTGGTTAATTATAATTTTGTGATTTGAGTTCAAGAACCGTGCTTAAATCTGAACCCTGACTAATCGTTTGATCTGCATTCTTTGATTTCTTGAAAAATATCCTAAGCCTAATTTCCATCCACTCGAGTCTAACAGACGTTTCTACTCCTTTTCTACTGCTTTGTTATTTCAATTTGCATCGTCTTTCTTAGCCAAATACCGATCTAATAGGTTTATTTAGTGAATTTCTCGTCTCTGTGGTTCAACCCCTCGAAACACTACAACTGCACATCTGTGCTTTTCTAGAGTAGCTTAGGGATTAAACTTTGAGCAGATCAAATTTTGGCGCCATTGCCGGGGACTTGATTTCGCCCTTGAACCTTAGATTTTGAGTTTCGACTAACTTTTTTTTCTTAGTGTCGAGCGACACCACTTGTGGTGTTGGTCGACACCTTTCGTTTTTATAACCTAATTTACTTATTTTGTTTTTCACTTTTTGTTTTCTGTGTTTCAGGTTTATGCATACTCGCAAAACCAGGAGCAACAAGGACGATCAGCTGGTAAACTTGAACAAAAAAGAGCTAGCTGAGTTACAGCGAACGAACAGAAAATCAAAGAAACCGGCAGAGATGGAGAACGCAATGGGACTTGTTTGTGATGATGCTGGAATCTGGAGAGACCAATAAGGTCATGTGTGCAGCGAGAGAGGCCAAAGACTTGATGGAGATGGAATCATCATCCCACCGGCACCTTTACTGGTGGATGCTATTAACGCGAATGCACCTCCTGCACTGCGTGGTAACGAAGGGAATGCTGTGATTGTTCCAAATCAGAGGAATGTCCCAGCAGATCATAATGCGAGGAAACCTGCACATGTAGCTGCTCGAGGAAGAACACTTGGAGATTACAATAGGCCTGAGCAGTTCTATGCAAATTTAGTCCACGATTCGCGCTTCAGCGTTTCAAAGGAACGATTTTGAGCTGAAACATGTGTATTACACTCTTGTGGGTCAGCATCTCTTTCATGGTCACTCTCATGAGCACCCGATGGATCATATCAAGAGGTTTTAGGACTTCTTCACCAGCATCAAATACAATGGAGTGTCCAATGATTTCCTTTTCTGCAAGCTGTTTCCTTATTCTCTTTCTGGAGAAGCAGCTAATTGGATTAAGCAGTTGGAGCCAGGATCACTTACTACCTAAGAAGAGACCAGGAATGCCTTCCTGCATAACTTCTATGATGATGCCATGTCTGAGGAGCTGAGACTCAAAATCTTAACATTCTCTCAAGGACCAACTGAGGCATTCAAAGCCGCATGGGTGAGATTCAAGTCGTACCAGCGAGATTGCCCCCATCATGGTTTCAGCGATGTGCAGCTATTGGGTATTTTCTTCAGGGGTGTTGATTGGAGATATCAGATGGCTCTTGATGCAGAAAGCAATGAGAATTTCAACACAAGATGACGGTGCTGTTGTGCTCATCGAAAACTTGGCATCTAGCAATAGTACCAAGAATACCGATTATGAACGAAAGAAGTAGGCTGGAAACATGAGGATGAAACTGAAGAAGAAGATGTCAACTTCGTCAATGGAGCTGGATTTCAAGGTCAGAGGTTTGGTAATCAGCAAGGCAACAGAAGCTACAATGGAAACAACCAGAGGAGCGCCTTCACCAATAATCAGAACTTTTCTGGTTACACACCTAAGCTGCAGTACCAGAATTTCTACTCCAACAACAATTTTTCCAGAAATTACGGCCCTTCTCCAACTCAAACTCAAACTCCTGACAACGAGGTGAAGTCTATGCTGGAACAGATTCTGGAAGGACAGCAGAAGCTCACCGTAGACTTTAATGGGAAGATCGATGCTCTCTACCTTTCTCTGAATGGGAAAATCGAAGCTTTGAACACCCATGTCAAGCAGCTCGATATGCAGGTTGCCCAAACTGCAGGTTCTGTGAAACGACAAGAAGGTTTTCTTCCTGGTAAGACTTACACTAATCTGAGGCATCACTGCAGTGCTATCACGTTGAGAAGTGGTAAAAAGTTGACCCTTGAGCCCAAACAGGGATCTCCTGATGTTGAAGTCGTGGATTTGGAAGATCCCGAAGAAGTTTGTGAAGTTGCAGAGCCTGTGTCGAGCGACACCACAACTAGTGTCGCGCGTCAGTAATTGCAGAGCGAAGCCGATATTGCTCCAAGTCCGAAATCTGCAGAGGAAAGGGTTTGCAAACCTAAGGTTCATTACCCAAGGGGCCCTAGGAAATCCAAGCAGGAGCTAGATGATGCAAGGTGCAAAGCTTTGATGCAAAAGCTTGTGATTGAAATACCTTTGGTTGATGCTTTGAAGATCACTCCTGTCATCAAACGCTATGTGAAGAGGATGGTGACCAATTATCTCAGTCATGAGCAAGGAGTGATGATGATTTCTGAGCAAGTCAGTGCTGTGATTCAGAACAGGATTCCAGAGAAACTTTCGGATCCAGGAAGCTTTGTCTTGGATTGCTCCATTTTCACGGAGAGATTCTAGAGATCTCTGTGTTATCTGGGTTCAAGTGTCAATCTCATGCCGTACTCAGTAGCTGTCAACCTCGGTATGACTGATTTCAAGCCAACTAGGATCTCTCTTGTCCTAGATGATCGATCGACGAGGATACCTGAATGCGTTCTGGAATATGTTCCGATCAAGGTTGGAGATTGCATGATACTAACCAATTTCGTCGTCTTGGAATATGGAGAGGAACCCAAGGACCCTCTTATCTTTGGGAGACCTTTTCTAGCGGCTGCAGGTGCTATCATCAATGTGAGGAAAGGCATAATCGCTTTGAATGTTGGAGATTTGGTCATGAAATTTGACTTGGACAAGCTGATGAAGAACCTACCATCAATGGTCAAACCTTCTACGTCGACACACTCACCGAATTTGCAGAGGAGATGTTCCATGAGATGCACCCTGCGGACCCACTAGAGAGAGCTCTGGTCTCATCTGCGTCTTAAGCAGAGCACCTGGACGAAATTACAGCATCATATGTCAAGATGCTGGATGCTAGCAAGCAAGTGATGCAGTTGGTAGCTCAAGAAGAACCGATCGAAGTTCCTGCAAAAGCCAAAAAGCTCAGCGACTGGAGTGAAGAAAAAGCTCCTAAGATTGAACTCAAACAGCTTCCTGCAGAGCTAAGGTACGCATTCCTGGGACCTAATTCTACTATTTTCAATGCTTCCTTAAACAATGCAGAGCTCACCTTACTGCTAAGCAAGCTGCGCAAGTTTCGCAAAGCTCTAGGCTATTATCTTGATGATATTTCAGGTATCTCTCCGGACCTGTTCATGCATCGGATTCACCTGGAGGATGAGACGAAGTCGTCGATTGAGCACCAGAGGAGGCTGAATCCGAATCTGAAAGAAGTGGTGAAGAACGGGATCATGAAGCTGCTGGAAGCTGGGATCATCTATCCAATTTCGGATAGTGCTTGGGTCAGTCCAGTGCACGTGGTTCCTAAGAAAGGGGGAGTCATAGTTGTGAAGAATAAGAGGAATGAGCTGATTTTGACGCGAACAGTGACTGGACACAGGATGTGTATCGACTAGCGGAAGCTAAACGCAGCAACTAGGAAAGATCACTTCCCCCTACCTTTCATCGATCAGATGCTGGAGCAATTGGCAAATCATCCGTATTACTGCTGCCTCGATGGGTATTCAGGGTTTTCCAGATCCCCATCCACCACAGATGATCAGGAGAAGACCACTTTTACATGTCCATACAGCATTTTCGCATATCGCAGAATGCCTTTTGGACTTTGTAATGCTCCTGCAACTTTCCAGCGTTGTATGATGTCCATCTTTACAGACATGATCGAAGATTTTATGGAGGTCTTTATGGATGATTTCTCAGTTTACGGATCATCCTTTAAAGACTGTCTGGACAATCTGTGCAAGGTATTAGCTCGATGTGAAGAGAAGCACTTGGTCCTTAATTGGGAAAAGTGTCATTTTATGGTCAGAGATGGAACTGTTCATGGGGACAGAGTTTCAGAAGCTGGGATCAAAGTTGATCGCGCGAAGATCGACGTCATGATGGGCTTGCAACCACCAGATTCTGCGAAATCAGTGAGGATTTTCTTGGGACATGCTGTGTTTTATCGAAGATTCATCAATTATTTCAACAAAATCGCAAGACCACTCACTGTGCTGCTTTGCAAAGACGTCACATTTGAGTTCACAGTTGAGTGTCTTGCAGCTTTTGAATAGATCATACAGGCCTTGATAAGTGCTCCTATTGTGCAGCCCCCTGACTAGAATTTTCCTTTTAAGGTGATGTGTGATGCCAGTGATTTCGCAGTAGGAGCTGTTCTGGGACAGAAGAAGGACAAGAAACTTCATGCAATCTACTATACCAGCCGAACTCTGGATGATCCTCAGAGAAATTATGCGACCACCGAAACGGAGTTGTTGGCTATAGTTTTTGCATTCGAGAAGTTTCGACCTTACCTGGTGGGATCGAAAGTGATTGAGCACACAGATCATTCTGCGCTCAAATACTTGATGCAGAAGAAAGACGCGAAGCCGAGATTACTGCGATGGGTTCTCCTCCTTCAGGAATTTGACATTGAGGTCAAAGACAAGAAGAGAGTTAAGAATGGAGTAGCTGACCATCTTTCGCGTATCAGGATTGAAGATGACGTCCCCATTGATGATTTTCTGCCTGAATAGAATGTTTACTATGTAGAAACTAGCTTTCAGAGCAGTTTTGATGAAGAACTGCAGGCTTTTCGAGTTGGAGATATATTGGTGTCGAGCGACACAACCACTAGTGTCGCACGACACCTTGCGCAGCAGAACACAGGGTTTTCGCGAATTCGAAGCAGACTTCCTGCGATGAGTTCAGCTGCTGTATCTGCTACCAATCGACCATGGTATGCTGATATTTCGAATTACCTTGCTGCAGAGGCCGAGCCTGAGAACTTCAAAGGCTATGCGAAGAAGAAGTTCTTAAAGGAACTAAGGAGATACCACTGGGACAAGCCCTATCTGTACAAACATTGCTCTGATGGGATTTATAGGAGGTGCTGTTTCATTGTCATAGATCTGAATATGCTGGACACTTCGCGACCTTCAAAACAGTGTCTAAAATTCTTCAAGCAGGATTTTGGTGGCCTACAATGTTCAAGGATGCTCACACCTTCATCTCGCAGTGTAATGCTTGTCAGAGGAGAGGGAAAATCAGCAAGCAACATGAGATGCCACAGAACTTCATCCTTGAGGTTGAAGTATTCGATTGTTAGGGTATCGATTTTATGGGTCCTTTTCCCTCGTCTTATGGGAATGAGTACATTTTGGTTGCTGTTGATTATTTTTCTAAGTGGGTCGAAGCCATGCCAGTCCCACCAATGATTCTTCAGTGGTTCTTAGTTCAAGATCATTATTTTCCCTCGATTTGCAGTGCCTTGAATTGTTATAAGTGATGGTGGTTCTCACTTTATTAACAAGGTTTTTGAAAAGCTTCTCAGGAAACATGGTGTGCATCATCGAGTGGCAACTCCTTTTCACCCTCAGACGAGTGGATAGGTCGAAATCTCAAATCGACAGATCAAAGAGATCTTGGAGAAAACAGTGGGAAAAAAAAGACTGGGCTGCAAATCTGGATGACGCGCTATGGGCTTACAGGACGGCGTTCAAAAACCCTCTAGGTACCACGCTGTTTCACCTGCTCTATGGAAAGCCCTGTCACCTTCCAGTGGAGATCGAACACAAGGCAGCTTGGGCGAGAAAGATGATGAACTTCGACATCAAGTCTGCAGCAGAGAGGAGACTAATACAGCAGAATGAGTTGGACGAAATCAGACACCAAGCCTATGAGAACTCGAAGCTGTACAAGGAGAGGACCAAGGCATATCACGATTCAAAAATCCTCTCAAGGCAATTTGAACCGAAAGACCAGGTACTTCTGTGCAACTCTCGTTTGCAATTGTATCCAGGTAAACTGCATTCTCGTTGGTCAGGTCCTTTCATAGTCAAGGAGATTCGATCATATGGCGCCATTGTCCTCCTCGCCCCAGATGGCAACAGGGAGTTCACAATGAACAGACAAAGGGTGAAACACTACTGGGTTAAAGCTGCTATTCTAGATGGACACATAGTACCTCTGGATGGTGCCCCTCCTGCCTGAATCTCCATCAAATCAAGCTAATGACTTTAAACAAGCGCTTGGTGGAAGGCAATCCACTAGTAAGTCTGTACATAGGTCTTTTTGTTTAAACTGATTTTCGTTTTTCGTTTTCGTGTTTTAGGTGAAGCAGATGCTGGTATTTGTCACTCGCTTCTGTAAAAAAAAAAAAAAAAAAACCGGGAATCAGGAACCAGAATGGAATCAGATGCCGAGTAGAGCATAAGGAGATTTGGTTCACGGCGTGCAAGTGTCGCGCGACACTACGTGTGGTGTCGCTCGTCACTAGCAAACAGAGTAAGTCTCATTTTTCTCCTTTTATATTTAAAACCCTCATTATCCTCTTTCTATCCTTCGCCGCACTCGACATCATCGACCCCTTCCCCTTCACAAAACCCGATTTGGCTCAAATCTTCAGGGATTTGAGTGTTTCAAAAGCCTACCTCATTGGATTTTCACCTGATTCTGTTTCTCCCATCAATTTGCCACTTCAACATGGTAAACCACTCGTATTTCTACTTTTTTTTTGGCAACCAAGGTATAGAATGTCTAAATTGCTCTTTCTGGGTTGCTCTCTTGCTTTATGTATCACTTTTAAGCTGATATAGAGCAAATTTTGACATCTCCAACCGCACTTTTCATCGACCGTTTGGCAGATTTTTGGAATTTTGTTCTTCATGAAAACTCTTGTTCGAAATTTTCGCATGTAGAGTTTCAGAACTGATTTAGGGTGAACTCTGGTGATTGTGTTGCTAGGCTTGTTGCTCTTGATATCAGGAAATGCTGGAATATCCAATTCATGATTTTGACTTTGGCTAGCTTGTCGTTTTTCCTCTTTGTTTGGTTCCCTCTGTTTTGTGTTTTGCAAATGCCTCCACGCAAACGATAATGCCGGAACAACCCCTCAAGCTCGCAACCCACTGAAGTAGTGACATTCAACCTTTGCGATCATGTCGAGGCTTTGCTAGAGGATCAGTGGCACCGCGCGGTCATTAATGCGGTCCTCACAGGACCTCGCTATTTGGTAAAATTCCCTAACTCCCAGGATTTACAGCTGTTCACATCCTCCCATCTTTGACCTGCTGCGCCACCTCGAGCTCACTCCGCCTCACTACCACCATCGCCTCCTGCTACACCTGAGTCACAGCCGAGAGGATTAGGCCCCCTTGGCCTAAACAAGAGAAGGTGCATATTGTTTCCAGGCGAGTTTGGGATGAATCTCACAAGAGGGTGTCTGAGAGTGTTGAGTGCCTCCATAGGCCAATTTCTGATGATTAGAATGATTACGACACACTTTTCTACAATGCTTGGCTTAACGTCGAGATGGTCCCTACCAGATTCTTGGACATTCTTGATATGCGGCGTTTGGGTTTGGATTCTGAGCTTTTATGTCTGTTGGCTAAGCGGGATTGGGGACAATGGCTACGAGGACCTACGACTTTTACCCCAACCTTGCTCGTCAGTTCTTGGCTTCTGTTCGCATCTACTACGCCAACAAATCCGCTTCCAATGCGCAGGAAGGTACTCTCACCTTTATGATCTGTGGAGTTTGTTACCGACTACCTTTCGGCGATCTTTGTGCTATCTATGGGTTCCAGAAGGATCTCCTGCAAGTCTACCTTCCTACTCAGATGATCGATGTCCAGGCTTTCTGGTCCCATTTTGGGAATGGTCGCTACGATTCGAAGACCACGTCACAGACCGATGTGCGATGCCCTATTCTGCGATGCCTGTTTTGCATCTTGGGCAACATCATTCAGTGTAAGTCAGCTCCAGGTAAGATGCGCCTCTCTGAGCTGGCTCTT